CTGCACCCTGCCCCCTGCCCCTTGCTCTGCACCCTGCCCCTGTGCTGCCGTTAGACACACGAGACCCTGTGGCCTGGGCTTCAGTGGAAAGGCATTTATAACATGCTCATGGTAGAAGGATATTCCATCTGTCAGTCAAACACAACAAAATCGGATTGGAGGACATTAATTAGGAAGTAACTTTGTGTCTAACAAGGTGGGTGAAGAAGCACCAAAGGCTTTGTGTAATCTTTGTATGACTAGTTGACGTCATCTATAACCATTTTGGAGGGTGTGATGAAGACCAGATCCATAGCTGTGGCATGTTATCAAAGTTTTTATTGGCCATGTTAATCCTGTTTTCGGTATAATTGTGGATATTGTGTAATGGAGGATGTGTATACTGGTCCATTCCCACTCCGTCTCACCTCATTTTTACATGCCAACGGTTTCAGAAATGTGAGCTTATGTGAAATCGCTGTATATGAAGGATTTGTGCTTTTAAGCAGAATAAACGTATTCTGCGCTGGATAAAAGAACTACTTTGGTGGCCTGCTGGTCTCTCCGGAGGAAATACCCAGACGCTACTCCCCCCCACTCCCAAATCGCTGCACATAGGCCCCTTTGCACCAGAAGATGGGAAGAAAATCAGTGGCTAGTTTTGATGCGTGGAAGTGTTTTGTTTTTCCCAAAGAGAGCAGAGGCAGCAATTTGCCAGCACAGCCCTTGGATAATGCGAATCGACACTAGAAAGGCGACATATTAAGCAGCAAACAGACAAACAGTATCGCTGGAACGACTCGTGCTGTTTGTCTCCGTCTGTCTTTATGTTCCCTCTTCTTCTGTTGGTCTTCCTCCGCACTTGTAGTGAAAGGCTTTAGGTAAATATCACACGACAGGGTCTGACAGCTGGGGTGTCCCCCAGGCTCGTACATCGGGCTTTTTTTGGTGGGCAAAGGCGAGCTTTCCACAGATGTGGGTGCGGCTAAGCACTTGGCTCCCAGATCGACGCTGGTGTGGGCCGACCGAGCACCATGCCTGTGGCCAGGTCCTGCAGACGACTGAGCTCGCCTTTTAATGCTAAGTATTTATACTGGGGGATGGGGGGGGGGGGCGATCCCCACTCAGGGCCTCTCAGACACGGACTCCCCGCTCACTGCTAACGCTGTTCGTGCCGTCAGTGTGGTGCGCCGCACTCCGACATGGGACCGGGCTGCCCCTCCCCGCCACCATTCCCCCCTCCCCGTGTGATTCCCGGTTCCTTTTATCGTGTGAATCATTCATTTCTGCAGACACTGTATCAGGAGCAGCCAGACATGAGACATGAAAAATTCACCGTTTACGAATTCGAGGCAAAAAAAAGAAACATTTACAAATACAAAAGCAAGTGTCCCGTATCTTACTTTCTTAGCACTGAAATATTTATATGGTGACTAACAGAACAGTGTTCCAGAACTTTCTGTGGTTATAACTTGTAGTTATTTTATGGCATTTAGGTGAAATACATTCCTATTTCTGTAGTAAATAAACTACAAGTAAATAAACAGTAAAAAAACAACTGTCCGATTGTCCTTTGACTATCAATCAAATACATCTGAAGAGAACTTTGAAATATAGAAGTTTGCACTGGTGTTACAGCATTATATTGATGAGGTGAAAACATTAGCATTACAAGATTTTATGAAAAACTTTGAAGACCCTGTTCTTTATTCTTCATGAGTAGTGGACATATTGTTCTGTGCTGTACATATCAGCTCTGGAAATGGTAAAAACAAAAAAAACAGTGAACTTTGCTTTAAAAACTGGAAAGTGTACCTCTTCTTCTTTGCCATCAGCTTGGGCTATGGGCAATTTCACAGCTACTGTGGAGTTTTGCTTGAGAGCACCCTGGCTTTTGATCAGGGCTTGAAAAATAGATGGAAATGGATGATATACATCCATTTTCAGCAGCGTATTACTTTAGAAAATTAAGGACAGTTATTTCTTCCTTTTTTATTCTGCGAATCTGTGGTCCTGTGAAGCTCGTAATATCTGAGTGGGGAAAAAACCTTTAAAAACCCCTTAAAGGCATACGGCAGTTTAAAGTATCTAAAATAGGTTCGAATTTATGGCTTGATAGAAACTCAGCTTGCTCCAGTGCTGTTGTGGAGAGGAGTCATGTCAGAAAGGGTTTTATGAAAAAAGACCGTTGGTGCTGTCCTAGTTAATGTGCGTAATAGTCCCTGTGACATTTAGTGAATCCTAAGTTTTGATGACTGTGTTACTAAGCGTGTTTCAGTGCATATGAGCGAGTGAGTGTGAGCATGTATCTGTGGGTATGAGTCTGTGTGGGTGAGTGTGAGCATGTGACTGAGTGAGTGTGGATAAGTGAGTGTGAGCTTGTGAGTGAGTGTGAGCTTGTGAGTGAGTGTGAGCATGTATCTGTGGGTATGAGTCTGTGTGGGTGAGTGTGAGCATGTGACTGAGTGAGTGTGGGTGAGTATGAGCATGTGAGTGTGAGCATGTGAGTGAGAGCATGTGAGTGTGTGTGGGTGAGTATGATGGAGTGTTATACATATGTCCCTGTGTGTTTTAGTGTCTGGTGTTTGCTTTTGCATGTGTGCTTTTGTATGTTTTTGGTCACAGAGATGTTCCAGCAAAGTTTCTGATCCCTGTCAGTGTCCTCTTCCTCCTTTACTCCGTCAGCCTCCTCTTCCTCAACATTTTCGGCCTCCTCTTCCTCCTGAACCCTGTTGGCCTCCTCATACCTCCATAATTCACTCAGCCTCCTCTTCCTGTGTCAGCCTTCTCTTCCTCTTTAACACCATCGGCCTCCGTCTTACTTAATGCCACTTCCTCCTGAACACCCTCCATCTCCTCTTCCTCCTGGAGATTGTTGGCCTCCTCTTCCTCCTGAACACCCTCCATCTCCTCTTCCTCCTGGAGATTGTTGGCCTCCTCCCCCTTCAGAATGCCCTCAGCCTCCTCTTCCTCCTAAATGCTATCAGCCTCGTCTTTCCCATCCTCCTTTTCAGAATGCTTCTCTCCTTTCTCCAAGCGCTTTTGTATGATGTGACAGCTGAGCTGCCGTGCGTGAGCCAGTCCTTGGTGAAGCACGTCATGGATCGGAGTTCGCCATGCCGGATGCTTGGGAGACTGTCGCTCCTCAGACGTCGGTGTATCCCACTGCGTGGCCTGTATTGGGAGTCATTGTGTCATTCACCAGGGTTCTGCATGTTTGCAGAAGATACTAGTATGCAAGGCTTGTCTTTATGCGTCAACAAGCCGATTTACTGTTTTAATTATATGAGCTGCTTGCCCAAACGGGGCGTATTCTCATTACATATTGATGTGACATTTGATGTGACCGGTTTGGCTTTCCTTTTCAGTTGGTGTATTTGCACTGTAGTCACCATAGTAACCTTAAATGCAACAGTCATTACTTTTCAGCCAGAATGAATATTTGCGATGATTATCAGAAGGAGCAATTTGGACTGGGATGCCAGTTGTGGGTTGCCATTCTTGAGTTCAAACACCTTGAAAAATGCTCAGCTTCATAATATATACTTTTTTATATCTGCCAGTAGACACTGACAAGCATATTTTATTACAGATTAATACAGCCCAGTCATTACTGTAATAAAAGAGTTATGTCCATCCTTTGTATTATAGAATAATTTTCAGGTAATTTCATATATAGTGAATTACTGAAAATACCCAGTAAGGGACTTAAATTATTATTTTTTTGGACCAGAACTGTGGTTTCAAGTGAGCAGTAATGTACATGCTCATTTTCAGCCCTGCGGTGGCAAAAGCCTCTGACTGGTCGCTTGGCCACCAGGCCTTGTGTGGCCATTCAAAGGGTCCTGTCATAAATCAGAGTGAGAG